CTCCAGCCCAAGTAATTAAGAAAACTAGTGAAAACAAGTCAAAGTACTCTTTTTAAAACAAAACAAAACAAGACAAAACAAAACCCAGAAGGAAGCCTGTTTACAAGTCTCCAGCTGCTTAATACAGGGGCTGTATCCTTGTCTGAAACCCGCGGTGCAACAACTGAACATGCAGGTGAGAGCCACGCTAGGTGTGAGAGGCTGGAAAGGAGAGCAAAGACAAGTCTGGGAAGATTTCCCCCCCCCAGTTTTACTGAGTACTGCATCCAGTACCTGTAAATTCCCAGTTCCCTGTGATTACCTCGCAGAAGAATTCATTGGAAAGGGAGAAGGGAAGGAAGGAACTGACACAATTTTGCCTTAACGTTTACCAAAACCAAGTTGAAAAATTGGCCATTTGTCTAGCTTTGGCTGCAAAACACAAAGTTACCCAGCATCAGCTGCAATCGGAGACTGCTGGGAGCAGAGCAAGTGTCGGGGTTCTTCCCAGGCATCCCCCCAACTTATTTTGCTGGTGGGAGCAGAGAACAACGTCAGCAACACTGGACCCTGCCTCAGCACGTGCATCCTGCTCTGGGAACCCTGGCTTCATTTGATGTCGCTTCTCGTCCCTCTGTGCTTTATTTGTCTGCTCACCATGGTGCACCAACAGCCCTTACACGGCTGAAACGCACATGCCAGCAGGGTCCCACGGGGGAAGGCATTTTATGCAAGAGTCAAAGCTACGTGAATCTTGTACTCGAGCATGAACGCCTGCAGTTGGATGCACAAAGATCAGGCAATTTTGAAGAACAAATGCAAATGGGAAAACACAAGATCTGCCTGGAGGCGGTGCGTTATTCAAGAGGTAGGAGTTGCAGTAAAAGCTCATTTGCCCTAAGCTGTGCTAAATACGCCTGGATTTTCAACGGGGCCGGGAGCACTGAGCCATCCTCCGCAGCAGGGCAGCAAGTCACCTCCGAACAGGAGAAAAGGGAAAAACCCCTCATCAATGGCCATCTCTTTAGAGCAAGATCTGCTTTTTCAGCTTGAGCAGCGCAAGGCATATTTGCATATTAACGTATCTGCGTTTGAAGAGACTTTTGCAGGTTACAAAGTGGGAGAGAGCTCCAGAAACAGAGCCAGATGTGGGCACAGCCACGAGATGGAAAAGGGGCTTAAAAGGGAGAACTGTACTTCAAAAAATCACAGCCCGGCTGTATACAGGCAGATAATGCTGTTCCAGGGAACTGCAAATGGTCGCTCACTGTTTCTCCTAGCCTAAGGGCTAGCGGGCACCCAAAGAAATCATTAGGTTTAAAATCCAAAAGGATTTCACTTTTCACAGAGGGCAGGGTTCTTACCACCACAGGGGGTTGCAGAGAATAAAAATACGAGCTTGAAATGAGATGAGATGAATTCACCAAGAATAGCTCCAGGCAGGGGCTGGCGCACGCTGTGGCCCAGATAAAATCTCCATCCTGGGAAGCTCCCACAGGCCCTACGGCCAGGTGGGCAGAGCAGGGCAGGAGCTCCTCATGCCTGGCCAAAACATCCGCTCCCGGGCACAGACAAGTCCTGGACCAGATGCTCTTTTGCCCTGAGCAAATACAGCGATATTTAGGCAGCCAGCTCAAGCGTGGAGACTGGCAACCCACTGAGGAGTCCCTTTGGGACCGCTCTGAAATATTCCCCCGCACCATGGGGTACGGCCACCTCCAGCGAGATGCTGAGAGCCCATCTTGCAGTGCTTGTTTCTAAGAGAAGGAAAGTCTTTGCTCTAATCCTGCTCAGTGCTTTTGCCCTTCAGCAACAACCTCCAGCTGCTCAGGACCACCCTGGGAGGTGGTGCGGACCCTGGTGTGCGTCCACAGACTGTCGCCTCCCTCGTACTCACCACGGTGGCCAGGCTGGGGATGTGCTTGACCGAATTCTCCACCTCCTCCTCCGTCACCTCGACAAGGGTGCAGTTCTCATCCTCCGTGGGCAGCAGCTCCACTCCATTCTTGGTGACCCAAGGGTGCAACTTCAATTAATAACACAGCCTGTCAGGAATGATTTCCTCTTTTTCGTAACTCAAACAACACAAGCCTGGCAAACGCATCTCCTTGCCCAAGCTATGGCCCCTACAGGCTCCTGAAATACCAGGGAGCAGGGGAGAGACATGCCATCTCACTGGCGAGCCAGCTCACCCCGGCACCACCGGGAACGGCTCAGCCTGGAGCAGAAAATGTGGTGGTGCGGTTCATCCGGAGCCAGCACTGGTCCCTTCTACACAACCGAGCAATAACCTTGGTGACCTACAGCACTGGGCATCCCAGTGGGTTTTGGGGAAGAAGACTTATTTTCACTTTCATCTTACAGATGAGACAGTGCCAAGAGGCAGGAGCGATTTATTCCAGACCATACATATGAGCAGTAGTGATGGGGAGACCCACCGAGCTCTAGTCTTGGACCTGAATTAATCCACAAGAGAAGGCAGAAACCCCTCTTTCTCCTTGCCCACACACCTGGTGTCTCGGGTGACTGCAGGAGGAGCACAAAATGGTTCAGCAATTCCCCCGCAATCCTTTCCCCCTACCTTGGTCTCCATTTTCTCAGCTTCTCGCCCCTTCCAGGCTCTCACAGGGGCGGAGGACCAGAAATCTCCTGCGAAAGGCTGTTGCACAGTACTTTCCTGGTAGCAGAGGAAATACTGTACTCAGGGGATTTCCTTTTGCCTGTGACTTCTGTAGGCACCAAAGGTCCCAAAGCTGAGCAGGTCCCGGAGCAGGGGAAGGAGCTGGGACTTACCTGCCCAGGGGCCCTGGGCACAGGGGGAGGACCTAGCCTGGCGCGATCAAACTGACTCCCAAAAAAAGCCGAGCAAGGAGAACCCAACAGAAGTGAAGCCACAGCCAACACCAGGGGCTTGGGTCAGTACCTTGATTTCTGGGACCGAAATCCTAGATTCAGGATTTTTATCCAGCATCCGTGTAATCAAATCCTTCAAGAAGTCTGTAACTTCTGGCCTGGGGGAAGGAGAGGGGAGAGATGAGATGGGGAAGGGGGTGGATGCTGCCTCCCTTCTTCACCCCAGTGCCAGCCTCCGTGGGCCTTCCCAGGCAGATTGGGGCTGGACCCCAGCCCTGGAAGGGATGCAGTTCTGCGCACTCATATACCCAGATGCCATGCAGCCCTTCCTCCCCAACCCTCCCAGGGAAGCAAAATATCCCCTTTTTGGGTAATCCAAAGCGTGATCCCATGTGTACGGGGCTGGGAGAGCCCAACACAGCTCCACCCAGGCTAAAACCCAACAGGCAGCAACTGCAGCAGTTAATTCGTTCCCTCAAATGCCTCTGCGACTTCAATCGCTCCTTCTTCAGCAACTGCAAACCAAGAGGTGTTCCCTTCACATTTAATGCAAAGGAAGTTTTCCAGGGCCGAGGGCCAACAGAAGGGCTCAGAGCCCGAGTTTTGCGAAACCGCAGCGGAGCAGGGACAGCCTCACCCAGGCAGTGCCTGAGAAATGGCTCAAATGAGCTTTAAAATAAGGGCTGAGGGGTTGGGTTTTTTTGAGTACTTACTGGTCTGGGAACTCCAACGTTTGGGTCTTGATTTTATTGTGTAAACTCAGGATCCTTTCATCCATAAAAGGGCACTACCACGAAGAAAAAGAGCAATGAGAAAAACAACAACCTCTGTTAAGAAGCGGCAGTGGGGCAGCCAGTCGAGCATCAGGACCTCGTAGGGTTTGAAGGAGAACAAGGATCCAGTTATGGGGAAATACCAGAAGATTTCCTATTATATCAATGTCTTCTTTTAAATGCAGTGAAAATAACATTTGACTAAAAATGACCAAATTAACACAACAGCTACTTTCTTAAAAAATTCTGGCCAGGCACAGAATTTTTTCCCCAGGGAAAAAGAGAAACACGGCCCTTTTGGCTGCACCCCTCCCACGGACAGGCAGAAGCTTCCTTTTTCCAGTCACACATCCCCGTCTGCCCTCGGCAACACCCGACTGCTCAAACAGGGGTGCAGGGTGCAAACCCCACCGTGTACCCGGCACATGGGAGGCACACGCCAAACCCCCCTGGACCGCCAAACAGCACTGAAAAATCAATCTCATTACCTGCCCAAACACAAAGCAGTACAGTGTGATCCCCATGGCCCAGACATCCAAAGCCTGCAGAGCAACGGAAGCATAGTTAGATCTGCAACAGACAGCATGTGCAAGGAAGATTTAGTCCAAAACCCCTCAAATCACTATTAAATACCTTTCCAGAGAAGATTTTCCTGGTTTCCGAGAGTGTCTCTGGGGCCATGAAGGCAGGGGTGCCCACTGTATTGGTTAAGAGGGCATCGGCTCCCTTGAACTCATTGCTCACTCCGAAGTCAGCGATCTTGACGTGCCCATCTTCCCCCACGAGGAGGTTGGAAGGTTTAATATCCCGGTGGATTATCTTTTGATAGTGCACTGCAGCCAGAGAAAAAAGAAGCGATTCAGCAGCACCACCAGTCTGCAGCGAAGAAGCTACGAAGCCCCTGCTCGACTGTAAGCCTTTCTGCTGACACCATCACGAGCCCCAGCTTCAAAAACCTCTGTGTAGTAGCATGAGCCACCAGAAACGGCACCATACACCTGCAGAAAGTCCACCTCTGGGTTTTGAAAAAAAAAAAAAAGAAGAAATCCCATCCTTTTTGCACAGATACTTACAGTATTCAATGCCCTTGATCAGATCCTGGAAGTAGAACCGAGCCTGGTCCTCGCTGAGAGGTTTCAGGGTTGGGATTTCCATCACGGGGCTGCAAAGGCAACAGAGAACAGAAATTGTTCCCCATCCAGATGTGCCAAAACAGGTCCTGGAGGCTTTGCTGCCGGCTGGAGACAGCACGCAGCGCCGAATGCAGGCACATACGTACACAACTGTAAGTAGGTTGGGGAGATGCTACCCAAACTTGTAGGAGCACCACCATGAACCTCCCCATCGCCTCTGCGTCCTGTGCCCACGCCGGGTGGCTGAGCTGTGCCACCCACAGACCTGTCTGACGTTCATGCTTTAGTAGGTTTAAATCCGGAATTCAGTACTCACCCTTGCTTCACCAGTTCAAACACTGAAACACAAAAGAGAAGGTGATTATGGATCTCTTACAGGTTAGAGCTCCTGCAAGCACAGTCTCAGCACAAAAGCAATTATTTTAATGACAAAAATTCTAAAAATAATATCTTTTTTAAAAAAAGGAGATGCCATCTTATGCAAGACACATGGCATTTTGGTTGCTCATGTTGTCAACTAAGAGGATGTTGTCAACTGCCTTCTGAGTGCTGCAGCTCCAGCACCATGACGTGCCCTCCACGCGGCACACTAAAACCCTCCGTTTGCCTGCAAAACCGAGGCTGAGCCCATGCCCCAAGCAAAGCTCTGCGCTTGGCCATGAAGGCATCGCACGCTCCTCCGCTAGTACAGGCTGAACATAAATGATGGAAAAGAAATGCCTCCTCCAATAGTGTGGGTATTTACATCAAGCAAACCATTGCAGTCTGCCAGACAGGTTGGGAAATGGCTCATTGGTACCGTGGATAATTAACACGTGCCTTGTTCTTGAAGCCAAAGAAATAAAGCTACTTTCTAGCAGCCCGGCTTCAAAGCTGAGAACATAAATGCTGGTGCCTCTCATGGCAAACCATGCCCTGGTGTGGAATCAAAGCCTATGAAGAGCTATAAGGCACTCCCGTCTCCTTTCTGAACCCAGACTGGATCCCATTTGCTCCGATCATTAGCAGGGATTTGCTCCTCCAGCACATCCAGGCCATACCCGCTCCAGAGGAGAGACCCAACCCCGCACGCAGCCACCCCAAAATGTGGGGGGAACCCTTTGCCCCAGCAAACCCCCATCCCGCTGATGCCCCATGAGCGCCGGAGGGCAGTGGGCAGTTACCCATGTACAGGTGGTCCTCGCTGGGGTCATCCAGGACCTGCCAAAAGAAGCAGAAAGGGAATTAAACAGCACCAAAAAACCTTGCAAATTAAACATTGTGATTTTTTTTTATTTAGCAGCCATCTCAGTTCTGCACCATCAGCATGGGCTGCTGATCTCTGAGCCTCTACTCACAAGAGGTGGGGAAAAAAAAGAGGACACAGATATAGCTATGCTTCAAGGAAGTAAGTATTTAAAACACACAGGAAGCATCATCTGACTCATGAGCCAAATAAACTCCAGCCTGCACATCCTTAATTCTTGATTTTTGGACTGTTTCATATGGGCAGTGGGCAAAGGACAAGGCGGCTGCACTGCAGAACCTGCAGAAACACCGGTTCTTCCCCAAAACCCATCTGAGCATTTGTTTCATCCAAGGAAGCAACATTTTTCTGCATTTCCATTTTGGGGCAGGGCAGAAAAAAAATCCTCTTTTGGGAGGTGGGAATAAAAAAACCTTTTAAACCCGGGAAAAAACAAGTCTCCCATAGGCAGGACCATGGCCATGCCAGCCCTTCTGTGGTCACTCCCCTCTGCCCAAACCAACGTGTAGCCCATCCCTGCAGCATCCAGCCTCCTTCACGCTCGGGCTGGGTTTCAGAAAGGGGCTGACCGGTGCTTACCTCCACCAGCTTCACCACGTTGGGGTGGTCCAGCTTCTTCAGGATGGCAATCTCCTGGTAGACCTGTTCGATGGGCCCTTTGGGCTGCAGGCAGCCCTCGGGGGCAGCTTTGGCCCCGCGGGGCGGTGGGCGGCCTGCAGGAAAGGCAAAGACGGGGTGTGCGGTCGGGAACGAGGCCTCAGCATCCCCAAAGCATCCCCCACCCTAAAGCTGTTGTGCCACTTACGGGGGAAGCCCGCCTGTCTCATCAGCTTCTTTTTGGAGAGAACCTTCATTGCCTGCAACAGAGGAAAATACGTGGGATTTGGGGCAAATCAAGGATAAAACAGGGCCGGTGGGATGGAGCCGGCACGGAGTCGGGCAGGGATTCAGCAGAGGGGATTCATCCCTATCCCACCTGCCCCGCTGTGGGCTCCAGGGCCATGCACTACTCACATAGTAGGTGTTATCATCCTCGTTGTAGGCTAGCTTCACCACCCCGTAGGAGCCCTAGAGAGAGGCACAGCCATGGGGGACCAGTTAGGGACAGTCCAAAAAACCCACAGCACCCAACTGGGCTCCAGGTCCCTCCACAAACCCGGCCCCACCGGGATCACAGAGCTGGTGGGAGATACTGGAAGTAGTGAGGTATATGGTCTGGCATATCATCGCCAGCAAAGAAAAGCTTCAAATGGCCCATTTTGTGGCAGGGAGGGGGAACGTGGAAAATTAATAATAAATTTTTAAAAATATACAATTCAATTGGCACCACCCAGAAGAGACCGGTGTTGCAGCGAGGAGCTGGCTGAGTTGCCGTGGTGAGCGGCTGAACTTGCCATCTCACCACCTGGAGAGCAAAAGCGAGCCCAACGCTTTCCCATCCCAAATCCCTCCGTCCCACCCCAAACTCAGCCAATATTCACCTTCCCGATCTCGTCCTTCAGCTTGTACTGGTTGAGCTGCACACAGTCCTGCAGGGAGAGAGGCAGGGGTCCCACATGAGCCACGAAACCGCTCGCATTCGCTCTCCTCCTTTTAAATCTCCAGCAAAAATTTCTTTGCAAACTCATGCCCTGTTCTGCTCTGCCTGGGCACGCACTTGGGGCTGGACAGCTTTGATTCATGAGCCGTAAGCGCCAGCTGCCCGGCCACGCGTCGGCGTGTTTATAGACGGTTAATTGTGAACGCTAACAGCCGGGCGGGCGATATTGTCTGCTCACGTGGAACGAGCGCGCAGGATGGACGGGCGGGTGGCGGTGGGGATTAGCAGCCAGGAGAGCCCCGGGAGGGGGGTTTAACGCCGGC